AACAAACAAACACATCATCCGACGGTAATATTTTCCGACAAAAGAACAAAACAATAGATTTTGATCTAATGGTTTTTACTGATTTGGTTTTGTAGTTTAAATCCCACGAGTAGTAGTTGTAGTAGTTTTGTTGGTGCCTCTTCCAATGTGCATCTCTTCGCTGCTCGAGGAGGACGGGTCAAGCCCGTACTCGCTCGTGGCACCGTATTCGCTACTTGCCCCGTAATCGCGACTATCCAATGTCACTTTCCGGAATTTCTTCATCTCGGCACCATATGTGCCCGTCTCATAGTCCGAGCTACCGTCACCTCCGCTAGAGCCAATGTTTGAGTTCTGTCCCGGTTTCACACCATCATTTAAGTCATCTAGTGACGCATCTCCCTCCAAGATCCGAACAATCTAGTCGAAAAAACGCAGCAAACATTACATATAAACGATTCTCTCAACATTACCAAAACTTAATCTTAAACCGATCAGAATATCAATTCAAACCGAAAGCCTAACCGAAATTTTGCCACACCGAACCGAATATTTACCTGACTCATCTTTGGACGGCGACGACCAGAGTGACTTACGGCTGCAGCAGCACAAGCCACCATTCGTGCCATCTCGTAAGGCTCGTATTGGTTCTCAAGAAATGCATCAACCAGTTCTCTATAGTCTCCGTCTTGAGCTGCTCTCATGCATAATGGTCTTGCCTGACAATAAAACATTATTAATCAAAACATGAAATTTGTTTGATTAATTTCGTTTGTCTAATGTTTTTTTAATGAATATATATACTCACCCAATCAACCAAACTATCTTCCATGTCACCACTTAGATCAACAGGTCTGCGTCCGGTAATGAGCTCAAGAAGCATAACACCAAAAGAGAAAACATCTGATTTCTCTGTTAATTTCCCACTTGATGCATATTCAGGAGCTAAGTATCCAAATGTTCCCATGACTCGAGTCGACACATGTGTGTTATTGTCTTGAGAGAGCTTAGCCAAACCAAAATCTGCAACCTGAAAAGTTTACGACAAATGTTACATAGAACATTCGAAACAAAATTCAGGTAAATTAAGCATTAATACCTTGGCTTCGAAGTTAAGGTCAAGCAGAATGTTTGAAGCCTTAATGTCTCTATGGATGATTTTAGGATGACCTGAACACAATTATCCAGACAAAAACATAGAATCAATATCATAACTCTAGATGTTTGGTTTTAGAGCTAAAGTGAAAAGGGTAAATAGAGATTATCACTCACAATCTTCATGTAAATAAGCAAGACCTTTAGCTGATCCTAAGGCAATCTTGAGTCTAGTTGGCCAATCCATAACTTTCCCACTTTTCCCTATAATCCGCATTGATTTAGAGAATAATATTGAGAGTTAGTTTAAGTAAGTCATAATCCTTCACAAGAAAACTGCAAAAACTCATGATCATTACCATGGAGGTGGAACTCAAGTGTGTCATTAGGGAGAAACTCATAGACCAACAATCTTTGACCTCCAGCATTACTGCAATATCCAACAAGAGACACGAGATGCCGATGATGAACGCGGCTAATTATATCAACCTCTGCCTGGAACTCTCTGTCCCCTTGCCCGCTTCCCGCTTTAAGACACTTCACCGCGATCTCTTTACCATTAGGCAAGACTCCTTTGTGAACATATCCGAACCCGCCTTGTCCTAACAACCGGTCTTGTGAGAAACCTTGAGTCGCGGCCGCGAGTTCTTCGTAAGTGAATGTACTTTTGTTGAATCCCAATGCCACTGAAGGGTGAGGCGGTGGTAGTGATGGAGCGTATGGACCTGATGAGTAATTTGAGCTCATTTCGCCGCTTTGGAACGCATTTACACCTCCTGACATTGGTGGTGCTGGCGGCGACGGCATTGGCTGCCAGTTCCCTGGAGGTGGTGGTGGCGGCGGCGAATTCATCCAGCTTGTTCCCATTGATCCAGGAGGTGGAGGCAAATTCACAGTGTGATCATTTTGGTTGTAA